CCTCAGAACTGAGGAAGTTCTGAGGAAGGGTCACCAGACCCGAAACGTTAACTCTGTTTTCTCCTCCACAGATGTTGCCAGACCTGCTGAGCTTTTCCAGCAACTTTGATTTTGTTCCTTCTTCAACACTAGGTGGACGGGGAGAACCCACAGCTTGCAAGGTTACAGCTGTCAGATTCACATGCTTGGTCATGACTGCCCCTTCTCCACGAACATAGTGCTTCACGGGACCTGTCCTCAAATCAACCATGCTTCTTATCCCTAGTGGGCAATTCCCCTGGTTTCAACACCAAACTTCATCCCATGAACTGAACTACCTTTCTCACTTAGAGGAGTCTTGTGTCCGGCATTGGCATTCCTCGTGCCGTTTCCCCCTTCCAACAATATCCAGGAAGATCAGATTAAACCTTATGTATGGTCTTCTCCGCATTAGCAACTGTGCTGGAGATGTCCCTGTAGTTGCGTGAGGGGTCGCTATATAATCAAACAGAAACTGAGAATGAGTGAACTTCTATGCTGTTTCTGCCAGTCTATCGGACAATGGATGGAGCTGTCCTTACATGACGTATGCTATTCGACTTTTGGAAATACTCAAAATTCCCTGCTGCCAAATGATTGCCTGTTGTCTATGACCAACAGATCTAGCGTCTGTGTGTTGCAAAAGATGCTCACAGCTTTTCATTCGTCGTCCCCACATTTGACAAATGAACTTTACGCAAGTCCAACCACTTTGAATGGGCATCCACAATGATTAAAAGTATAGATCCCATGAAAGGACCAGCATAGTTGATGTGTAACTCACTCCAGGGTTTACATGGCCTGCCCCATGAATGTGCTGGAGTTGCTGGTGGAAATTTTTGTCGCTGTTGGCACTCTAGGTACCGACCCACCAACATGGCTGCGTTGACATCGAATCCTGGCCACCAGACATAACTTCTCGCCAACATCTTTATTTTGGAAACAACAGGCTGACCCTGGCGGTGATCAGCCAGTATCTGATGGTGACCTTTGCTGGGGACAAACACTCTTGCTCCCCATATTAGTATGTCGTCCTCAATGGTGACCTGCCCGGATCAGGAAGATTTCAATTGTGGTTGTGATGACCCTTTCGTTTCCCCCACCACCAGCTGTTTTAGTTTCGCCAGCATGGGATATTTTTGTATTAACAGTCTGATAGTGTCAGTGATGACCAGAAAGGTGTCCAGAAAGTTCCAGCGGCGTCATCTGCCGTGGTGTATCCGCCATTGGGAAGCAGCTTAACACATCCGCATTTACCACTTGGCCTCCTGGATGGTGTTACAACTTGCATTCAGAATGAGAAACCACTGCTGAATTCAGCCTGAAGCTACAGGTGGGATGGCCCTGTCCTCTTCAGGTAGGCTTAGCAGAGATTTGAGATCCGTTAATATTACAGATTTATGTAAAGATATTGGTGGAACTTTCGCACACCAAAGATCACTGCCAAACCCTCCTTCTCTATCTGAACTTGTATTCAGTCAGCATCAGTCAAAGTCTGGGAAGCATACACTGTCAGGTATACCTCTTTGCTGAGCCACTGTGTGCGCCAACGGTATCCCAATATCATATAGGGAAGCACTGCATGTAAGCACCACATTTCGCCTGGGATCACAGTGTGTCAACACCTTAAAAGACGATAGTTGCTTTTTCTCTTGCCTAAAGACTACTTCTTGCTAAGCGACCATTTCCAAGGCCGACCTTTTCTGAATGTAAGGTGCCAAGGTGGAGGCCAGGCAATATATGAATTTTCCATAATAAGTCACCGACCCAAGGAAAGACATAAGGTCTGGCACAAACGTGGGAGCCGGGGCACCCTTGATCGCCCTCACTCTATCTCCCAAAGCGTGTCACCTGGTCTTGTCAATTCTGTAGCCCGAGAAGGTCACTTAGGGTGCTTTGGAAAACATATTTAAATGCTATGTCCAATTTCTCAAAATGTTCTTTATTAGTGTTCCCAGTTATCAGCACATCATTCAGATAAATGGTGATCTGGGGTAGACCTTGTAAAATGTTCTCCATCGTTCACTGGAAAATTGCATGCATTGATGATACCCCAAAAGGCAGTCTCGTATATTAGTACAAACCCTTAAGGCTATTAATTGTTAGCATACTTATTGCAATCCTCATCTAATCACAATAGCAGGTAAGCATGGCTCCAATCCAGCTTTGGGAAGGACAGACTCCTGGCAGTTTTGCATATAAGTCCTCTATGCGATGGATTGGGTTATTTACACAGCTGCAAAAAGTGGTTCACCCTTTCTTTGAAATCTCCACAAAGGCAAACCGACCCACAATCGCTATGACCAGTGCTGCCCATAGGGCAAACTGTACTGGTTAAATGATTCCTTTGCTTTCCAGCCTCCTGATTTCTGTCTCTATTTATGCATGCAAGGCAATTAGCACTGATCAGTGTGGTCTTGAGGGGCCTAATGGCCTGCTTCTGCTCTGCACACTGCCTATGACACTTCCAGTTTTGGTGTCATCTGCAAACTTACGAACCATATTTCCTATATTCTCATCAAAATATTTTATAGAAATGGTGAACGGCAGTGGACTCAGCACCAACCCCTGTGGAGCACTGTTGGTCACAGGCCTCCAATCTGAGAAACAACCCTCCACTCTGGTGTTAACGGAAAAAAACAACAACCCCGGAGACTGCCCCATCAGACACTCCCGGGACAGGGACAGGACCAGATGAAACACTCTGCTCTTCCAAAACAGAAATTAAAGCTGCCTTGACTTTGTTAAGTAAAAATAAAGACACTATCACTATGGGGAAGAGCAAAAAGAAATAAATAAACAAAAAAAAATGGCTCTCCCTTGGCTCCGTCCCCACCAACCTCTTTTGGACAGGGGCCACAGGGGAGGCCACAATAAAAAATAACCTCAAGAAAATCAAAGAAAACAAATAAACAAACAGATCAACAGCTCTGATGAAGAGTTATCTAGACTCGAAACGTTAGCTTGTTTTCTCTCCATAGATACTGTCTGACCTGCTGTGATCTCCAGCATTGGTTGTTTTTACCTAAATAAATAAACACCCTCTGATCTGTCCCTGTTGAACACTTCTGGGACAGGAGCACCAATGATTTAAAATCCAGAGGAATTTTATCTGCTCATTTCAACTAAAAATAAATCAACCATTACGTCGATTCCCATCAAGAGCTTCTGGGACAGGGGCAGTGCAGGGCTAAAATAAAAGCCCCTTTGGTTCTTCCAAGGGGTCCAAAATCAGAACAAAGGGAAAGTGAAACAGCCCTCATTCCAGGGCGCCAAACCAAAAACAAATGCAAATTCTCAAGACAAAGCTGAAACTTATTCTGATTTAGTTCATTGTTCCTATTGTATATCATTATCCAGGGTGATAAGGCACATCAGCCTCTGCTATCTCAAAAGGCCTCAACAGGCCTCAACCATGCCAGTGAGCACTGCAAAGACAACTGTGCATGACGTAACCGCGAAAGGTGGTCAGACAGTTAGGAACAACGAGCCCCTCTTCGCCTTGCTGCCTGGACCTGTTAATAGCCATCTTGGCCAGACCCAGGAGCTAAAAGCCACAAGAAGGCTCGGAGACTTGTCTGCCCCTCCTCGCACCAGGTGC